CCTGCTAACTGTGCTGTCAAAGAGGATTAGAAATTGGGAGATGTGCAGAGAATTTTTTTTTAAAATCTTCAGGAATGCTGCATCTAATTTTCTCTTGAGTAGGCCCCCCAGGAAGCACAAGCTACCATCACCCATTCATGGCATCTCTCCGTTATGAAATACTTCTACATGCTTGTGCTAATTCCTTCTGAGATACTGGCAGCACATAAAATTATCACTTCTTCTCTTTCATTTGAACTCCTTAAAATTAAATCACATAACTGTCAGTAGATTTTACTGCAGCAACAATTTTCAAGCAGAGACCTCAATAGCTTCAATGAACATTAAAAGCCAATGGACCCATAAAACATAGGCATCAGGTTGTACCACTTTTCTTACTTAATTTCCATTTATATCCACAGACCTTCATAGGAGCGACTGACACAAAGCAACTCCAAATAATCCTATTTCTGTGCTTAGGTTAGCAGGACCAGAGAAGAAGCCGTACAAGCTCACTCACAGCAACGTTAGGGGCTCCAAATGAATTCTATCAACACAGAGACCATTAGTTCCATTAAAGGAACAAACCAGCATCTTTTTTGGAGGGTATCATGGCTGATTGCTATACAATGCAGTCACCTCTCTTCCTCTGTTTTTGTATATTGTTTTTCTCCTTATCTGACTGCCAGTGCTGTGATGAGCGAAATTATGTTAGTGAGATCAGAACTGAAGTCCAGGACTATTTTTATGGAGAAAAGATGTGATTTCTGTTTCTTGGTTATATCAGCCTCAAGATAGTTTTAAGTATATTCTTTGGAAAAACATCATGCAACAGATTTGCTGCTTTGTGACAATATAACAGTTTTATCACTCCTGAATTTCCTCTTTACATTAGAAAAAGAAGAGAAAATCAACCACCACTAATTTACTCCATCTATCAACAAGAAAAATATCTTATTGGGATAGCTGTCCAAAAATGCTTTTCAGAGGCATCGATTTAAATTACCTTTCATTCAACCACAGCTGCATTATTGTTGTTGTTATTATTATTATTTACTAGATACAACATATCTATAAAAGTTTGAAAAAATATTTTTAGTATTGTCACCAGAGTTAAGTATTTGTTCATATTTCAGATACAGACAAAAAGTTAACAGAAACTGCTATTTTCAGACACTTGGGTATAAGAGAGGAAATTTTTACACTTATTTTTAGGGAAAAAGAATTGCTTGCCTTTTCTTGCTACCATTGCTCCAAGGTTGGAAAAGAGGTGAACAGTTTTTGTTTACTTCAATGAAGAGTCTCTATGTTAATTCAAGAATAACATTATATGGATGATGTTATACAGGAGTTGACTGCATATTTGGGTCAACATCTATGAATCTGCATAAATGAACAGAGGACCCAAAAAAGGCAGCGTGTTACCTTGGCAAAACACTTCACTGGAACATATGGGCCTAAGTTTGATCAGTGACAACTAAAACTTCATTGATTTCATTTTACTTTTTCATTTATACCACTATATGAGAAGAATCAGGCGCATTGAGCAAAATGTATACATACAAATTCATCTACCTGACACTACGAGTATTTCTTGAGTAAGCACAGAGAACACATTCAGCGATTCTCGAACTTTGCGTGTGGATGCAGTGTTTTAGGTAGTGGGGGTTTTTTAATTGCTGGCTGCACACTCTCTACACTGCCTGCTGGAAAATTGTCTAGCCACACAGTATTCTCCATTACTGACTTCTAGTTTTAAAGTGTATAACAGGTAAGTAAAATCAAGTACCCTTCAAGCAGTCTATTTTGATGGAATAATTGCTACTGTTGTCACAGTGATCTTGCATCCTTGTAGGTATAGGTAAAGGACCATGGACAATGATTACAGGAATCAGACTGCAGGGAATAAACATAAAAATGTTTAAGAACCCCTGTTTTAAAACTACCATTTGGATTATGTGGGTTTTGTTTTATTCTATTTATTTATTATTTTATGTAATGTACTCATTTCTCAAATTCTTTCCCCTTTCTATTTAAGAGCTGGAGTATTGCTTCTAGGCACATTCCCTTTCTCCTTACCTGTGAAGTACATAAAGCCTCTGTTCTTGCCAGCCTGCATTAAACACTGCAATACAATTATCCTCAGTCACTGGACTGTTATCCCAGGGAATTGAATTAAGACTTTCTAGCTTACAGAACATCAAATTATTTACACAAAATGTTGTAGTTGAAACAGATCCAGTTTAGAATATTATGTGATGGTTAGGGTAGTAAAGACTAAAAAGATTAGGTCACTGATTTAAAACAGAACTAAAAGTTGAATCTGAATCTGAGGGTAGCTGTTGAGAGTCTTATCAAGTACGCTATTAACTATTCAGAAGCATGGAAAATCAGTTTTCTATTTAGGCTTGCCTCCACGTTTCAGCTGTAAAAGTTTCCTCGAGGAAGGTTTGTTTGGGACCCATAGCAGTTCTGTGGAAAGTTTCAGTGTCAGCTTTTCACAAGTGCAAACTATCAGAATTTTCAGTTAAGAAATATGAAACAGCCTTAGACTGATGTTCAAAAATACCCCTGATAAGTCCCTTCTGTTTTGGTAACTTGAACATAATGGTTACCTGCAGAGGCAGAAAGGGAAGTGTTCAGGAAATCACAGAATCATATAAATTGGTTCTTTTCCTGAAAAAAGTGTAATATATTTCATTTCTCTCTCTTTTTCAACACAAACCAAAAACCTCTGAGAATTCCTCTCAGAAAAGACTATCTTAATTGGCTTATTGCCCTTATAGCTGAAACACAAAATGATTAGTTAGCATATGCTATGCATTTTAAATCGATATAGTTTGTCACAATTATTCTTAAAGATTACTCTGTCAAGAGTATGTCAATATATCTTTCATCCATGAAGGCTTTATAATATATAGTCCTGACCGTTCTAGGCAAAAGCTGATTACAACTTAAATTTGCTTTATTTATCTGGATTTTTGCCTTACCACTCTAAAATTTGACAAGAAATCAACATGGAACAACACTAATGACATTTCCAAAGTAAAAATATCCCCCAATAGACTTAGGAGTTCTCCATTAGTACTTATGCCATACCTACATGTAATTTCTTACTTCTCCCCTCCACTGTATTCCCATTGGCACCCATTCACCATTCACTCCCCTGACCACGAAAGTCTTCCCATTAAACACGATGAAAGCTGTTGCACCAACCTGCCCGCGCGTCTGAATCTAGAGAGGCAGTCACTTTTTACATGCATCTCAAATACACGCTGTTTTAAAGCAGCCTCCCACCAAGGGCAGCGTGTGCCACATTTGAGGTTGAGCCAAGAGGAAGCGAGCACCGCTGCCCCTCTCCCGGGGACCCCCGAGCACTCCCAGGCCCCCTCCTGTGTCTGGCTCCCGGGGCATCGCTGAGCACCCGCAGGTCAGGGGAGGCCCTGAGCCAAACTTGCTCCCACTGGAATCACAGCGCAAAACTCGGCTGAATTCAGTGGGATGGAAATGAGCCCAAAGAATGAAAATACAAAGATAATGCTGTGGGGTGCTGGTGTTGGATAGGTTCGTCTGAATTTAAAGCGATGAAAAAATGAAGGGAAAGATAAAAGTGTGATGAAAGTTATGAGATGCTATGTTTTCCCTACCGAAACAACAAAGTTTTCACTGCTTTGCCAGACAGAACTGTCGTGTCTGTTGTCATTACTCTTCTTTTTTATTATTTAAATTAAAATAATTTCTGAAGAACATTTCTTCCCTTTTTCCCCATATACAGGCTAAAATATAAACAGGTAGAGATAAGTATAAAATCCAACCTTTATTCCACTTTGAACAAGCTTGTGTATATCCAAAAAAGGTTCCTTGAGTATGTCTCCTTCAGGACTGAAAATCTTCACATATCCTTCTTTCTCAAGAATAAAGAGGCGATGGGATCCATCCCCACAATGTACTGCTCCAACAGGCTGCCTTAGTCCACTCACAACCTCCTGAATACAGAAGCAGTTGTGCTTGTGTTTCCTAAAAAAATTTTAAAAAATAGTGAGAAATTTCTTCTTTCTTGTAACCATGACACAACAATGTCCCTAAAAGATAAAATGATTGTTCTGCAGTGATATTAAAACCACAGTTATACAATCCAGAATAAATTATTTCCTTGAATGTATGCAAGCAGATAATACTGAAAATCAATTTGAACTTCACTTGATAAAAATTTGGTTTATATACAAGAAAGAGAAAATTAATTAATCTTAGATCTGAAATGTAGAGGAATAGGAGAGAAAAAAATGAGAACAATTGAGAACAAAAGAGAACAAATGAGAACAAAAGAGAACAATTTATAGATACAGAATTTCTACCATACAATAAACGCAGTAAATTCCAGCAATTTGACAAAATTTGGCTTCTAAACCCTGTTTAAAAATAATGACTTATGATGGGACAATCTAATCTAATTATTTTCACGAAGAAAAATACATGAATGAAATAAATTGAAATAAATACTTTACTAATAAACTTATTGTAGTTGTTTAATAATATTTAATTCAGATAGAAATGACTTCCTAGAACTATGATCCACAGGTTGGACCATAACCAAGATCCACAGGGTGGATCAAACCAGGATTCTGACACCTTTTCAGCAACGCAAATATCAAATGGTACTGAAATATTGAAGCTAATGTAACTTTCTCTTTTGACGTACACTAGCAGCAGCAAAAGAAAGTAACATCTGGAAAACACAGCTGCTGAGCATAAGCACACACTGAGCTGTTTCACTGTGAAAACCACAGGCTTTGCTAGGGGTTTTTTTTCAGATTAAACAGCATTTATCGTTATGAACCTGCTGATCTCTTCCTCTTTGTCATATTCTTCCATGTGGTCCAGGGAGTTAGAAGCTGGCCCTCGCACTTGTTTTCTTGGAAAATCTGGAAAGCATACACCACCATCTTTTCTTGCATAGTAAAAGCAAAACTCATCAGCTGTAGTTTGGAGAAAACCTTAAAAATGCAAAAGAGCATACAAATATTTAGTGTGTTGTCATGTCTGCAGTTTTGTGCTGTCAAACTAATCTTTAAATAGATTGTATATTGAGTGGAAAAAAAAGTAATTTTAAACAAAGTGCTATCTGCAAAAAAAAGGCCCGCTCTGAATAAATACAAACTGAGTATTACCTTTTATAGTTTATTCAGTTGTATTTGTATTAAACCTTATTTTCAGTGTGCTTAAATAAAAATACCAGTTCATTCAAAGTGACACTACAGTTCACTCATTGAAAAATTAAGAGACAAAGTTCAGAGGTGAGGCTGTGATACAGTTTTCCCTGATTTTAACCCTATTAATCAAGTGTAGTATCTGCTGTAAAATAGGTTGAGCAGCTTTCATTTAGCTTTTTTTTTTTTTTTTTTAAGTGGCTTGTTGTAGGAGAAATTTCAGTAAAGACGTTGGTAAAAGACGTGCAGACTTTGTGGAATGCTGGCAGCAAAGGACATCAGTCGGAGAGGTGAATAATTAGTTGCCTCAGAAAGCGAGAAGTACTGCTGAAAACTGCCCTGTGCTGACATGCAGCTGGCCTCTGGCTGACTCCCAGCATCAGAGTGGGTGAACACAGTGTCCCATCGCGAGGTCCACTTCCTCAGCCCCCATCCCCTGAAAAGGGGGATATGTCTCATGCTGCATTGGAGCTGGCTTTAAGCTGGATTGGATGAAAGGTGGTCTTTAGGTTTTAGGTTAAAATGGGAAGGAGTTCGAAGACCCAGGGAAACAAGAAGTTGGTAAAATGAGAGCCTTTGAGGAAAAACCCTGCCGCTACTGATATTACACTATGTTTAATGACAGCAAAAATACCTACTTCTGTCCACAAACCTATTTCCAGGCATTTCTATCCAGTTTTTAATCATTAGTATTAAATCTAAAAAGGTAGAATTTGGCTACTTATACATGCACTGTTTTACTAAAAAGTCGTTAAGGTAATATAACTTAAGTTACCTTCATTCCTCTTTGCATTATTGGCATACAGTGTTAGGATGTACTATGGTGCAGGACATAACTCATAGGATACACAGAATTTGCACTTAATTGGAATTAGAGGCCTAATTTATGCACGGCTTTACCACTTGTGAATAATGCAGTAATCCATAGATCTTGGCCATAAAACCTCTGGCTTACAATGTACAATAAGAGCTGATCAGGGACAGCTGTGTTGCATTGGAAAATGCCAATTTCTTAAAAGCAAAACTGTTTCAGAAACATTATCAGTTTTGACAAAATTTTAGTTAACATGATGTTTCTGGTCCAAACTCAAACCTCTGGTCTAAATGAAAAAGAAAGCAACAGACAGCAAACCTCGTATCACTATACTCCAATGTTTTGTAATTGGGGTGTTTCATTAGGAAGAGGAATATTCAGGTCAATGCCCCTCATCTGTCAGGCAAGAGTTTGACCCTAAGTCTCCCATTTCCCAAGTAAATGTCCTAACAACGACTTTATTAGCTATCCTGGGGTGGTCTCTCTGTGGCTTTCTTCATGGAAAATTTCGAAAGAGTTCAATTTCTTCCTTATGTGGAATAGGAAAATTTTTTAGATCCCAGAATTTTTGTGGAGTGGAAAGCCTTTCCCACCCAACTATACTTCTTTTCATATGTATCTTCCTTTAAAAATATTGGAAAAATAACACGACAAAGCCTGCCTTTGGTTTCTATAAAATAATATCTGGAAACACATGGTAGTATGTTGTGGTGTAAAAGTTTAATTACCATGATTTGGAGCTTCAGTAAATATAATCTCTGAGGAGCTGGTTTTGATTTATAGTAAGTTATTTGGAGAAAATGGGAGATATAATTTCAAGTGGAACAACTGAAGAGGAACTCTGATATAATCACGGAGTACTATTCCAAGGCTTGTAGATATAATGCCAAAATCAAAGGTAATCTAAAATCTTGCTGTTGAATTATCTGACTTAAGAATACGCAGTTTCGTCTTTAATAATTTATTTCTCTAGGCACAGTGGGTCATTCAAGAAAATGAAACACCAAGTTAGAGGTGTACAATTTCTAAGAATTTCTAGAAATTTCCAAGTATACCACCTACTATTTACTAAAGATAAACTACCCTTGGCTTGAATGTTATCTTCAGTCAGAAAAACCGAGAGCATATTATGATCATATTGTTTACTCGGTACATGTTGATTTCAAATAACAATCAGATGCAAACTCACTTGACTAATGCCTTATGTAATGCCTTTTCTTATATGCAAGACTAATCCCTTTTCCTTATGAAATCTTTTATCTTGCACTTAAGTACATGTTGCACTGCAGTTGCCTTTTGCTATTCAGCAAACCCATCAGCTGGTTCCAACAAAGGATAAGGCTTATGTTCCATTTTCCTTAGAAATGCTCGTAAAAAATGGGGTTTGAATTAAACTATGAAAATCAGTCAGTAAATTGCTAAAATGTTGCATTACTGGAAGGAATGTAACCTCTGTAAATACAGTTTCACCTGTGTATTAGGGATGGAATTTTGTTCTATAAAAGGCACGGTAATTTACAAAAAAAAATCTGCTTGTGTTATATATGCTAGATTCAACATACTAACAGCTTCACTAAAGACAGAAAAACATTTGCTTCTACTCTCCTATCTGCTTGTAGCCATTTAATGTTTTCTTTATCATACTTAGACTGTAAGGTCTTTAGTGTAGAGTTTGCCATTTTGTTCAGTGTTTGTACAGTGTCCAGAAGAATGGTCCCTGACAAGTGCCCCTAAGCACTAGAATTGTTTGGAGAAAAAAAAACAAAATCATTTTGCTCAGTCTGAGTTTATTCAAATATATCTCTGCCACTGTCCTCTATGAGAACTATGCCTAATAAGGACTGCAGCATTTGGTCCTGTGTGAATTTCTGTACTTACCACTTTATTTTAAAAGACTCATGCATATCATTACAAATTTCCTACCAGCTGTGTATATGTTGACAGAGCAGTGCCCGTATTAACAAAGAAAACGGAAATCACAAAGGAAGATTAAACATACTGTTTAAGTGTTGTACATGTCAGATTTTGCACAAGCTTGCATTTCTATGCTTTTAAAACTTTCCGTCTTGCAAACAAGAATCAAACTATAGACACTTCAGTTAAGACAGTTACAGTGAAGGCTTTCTATGTTCGCCTTTATAAAAAACTGTGGGAATAAGTTGCATGATTTTAAGCCTTTTCAAAGGAAAACTTCTGCTCTCAGGTGATCCTCACCTCCTCTCTCCACTCGTATATGCAGTCAGTTATTCCTCACACTGTATCTTCCTTCCTGTCCTACCTTCACCAAATTTCACTTCACTGGATTCCCTGCTTACCCATCCCCCTGCCTCTTCTCTTTGATGTACAACTCAAATGTTGTGGTAGCATTTGTCCCTGTCTTTACAGCAAGTCAAGTTCCTATTCACTCCCTTCCTTGTTTGCACTGCACACAGGATTGAATATCATCCACTCATCTGAGTAGACCTACACTGGCTTAGAAAGCATCTGGAAATCAGGCTCACCTGCTTTATTCCTGCTATGACCTTGAGCATACAGTTCACTATTGTGTAAAAGAAGCATCTTCCTGGTTTGTTTTGGGGTTTTTTTTTTTTTTTTCTGATTTGCACTTTTGACAGCTAGATGTGAATTTGTTCACAAACACCACATTCTCCTGTCTCTTCTAAACTTTCAGTGAAAACTAAGTTGAAGAGGTGATTCCAGACCAATTGTTTCAAAATGTAGCAAGTTCAGTGGTAGCTCACATCATTTCCTACTGGTTTTCAAGTGACTAGCGGCTCTCTTCTCATACTCACACATTGCACGTACCTGCACACAGGCAGTGCCAGGGTTAATCCACTTGATGCTGCTGTTAGCAGTAGCAACATTATGAACCACTACTATTTTTCTGCAGGTTGATTATGTTGACTGTGACTCTTAGTCAACTATGTTAGAACTTCTGGAAGTGTTATGTGGGTTGCAGAATTTCTTAGATTTCCAGCATTTTGGGCTGGGGTGCCCCTGCTTGGAGTTAAAAAATTCCTATCAATCAAGCACCTGTTCTGGTAATGCCTGGATTCAGATCTGGGCCTGGATCTGAATTCACCCACAATCATCTGAAACCCATTTCTTCAAATGACAATAATGGAGAGCACATAGTTCAAAATCTGTCCAATGTCTTTGGATGGCAGAACGCGCCATGGCTGTGGCACAGGTTCGTTCCTTAGAATATGTCACTTCCACTGGCATGGATCAAGTTTCTGCTCATGCCTAAAGGGAGAATCAGCCATGCTTTTCTTTACTAGCTATATTAATAATAAGTATTAGACGCTCTTACAACCTTGGAAAACTTAAAATTCATATTGATTGAAGAGACTTCATTAAGTCACTTAACTCCAGTGTCTCCATCAGTAATCACTTAAACTGAGTCTTACAGTAAAGATCAGATGAGAAATAATGAGAACAGTCACCTGGGATGAAGCAGGGAAGTTCTGATCTCATAGACTCTGTGAAACATTACACCCTCCTGCGTTAACATATCCATATAATCCTAACAGCTGTTGTTATTACTCTGTTTGAATAAAGAATCGGGTCCACTTTTTCTTTGGATATTCCTAAAGAAGTCAATGGAAGTTCTGACACAGTCATAACTGGTGGGCAAACTGCCGTCTTCAAAAGAGTTAACGAAGGATCTGCTAGAGTTTTCATCTTTGCAAAAAGAGACAGAACAATAAATGAATTTCTGGAGCTAACTCGTGAAAAAAACTGATGTATAATTTCTCAGTCTTCTTGGTTAGTATGTACCACTAAAACTTCAGTTCCAGAAAAGATGCTTACTGTCTTAAATTGCTAATAGTATTTCTCATTTGTGCAGGACTGAAGGGATAAAATTATTTTTGTAGTCAGCAATTTCCTTAAACTCCTTTGTATTGGTGTTCAGAAACAATTAGCACTCCCTAATGGAGGAAGAGTAATTATTTGACTTTTTAACAAATGCACAGTGAATCATTGCCAGAGAACTTGGATTTGGGGGCCTGTTAATTTCCAACTCTTTGTTTAATCCTCCAGGCTAAGCTGAAAACATAGCTTCCACATTTTCTATTTTTTTTCTTTCTTTTGCAATAAATATTATTATGGATGTACAGGTCTCACAAGTAAAATAGAAAAGCCAAATCAGTTGTCATTTTAATTGTTTATATTTTAGAATGTATAAGACTATTAAACCATATGAAAATCCTGTAGGCCATCTTCTCAAAAAGATGAACCTGAATCTTAATTAATACCTTCAGGAAATCCTAGTATAGGTATCAACAACCATATGTACCAGTCAAGTCACCAAATTAACCCTGTTGGTGGATGTAAGTATGCAACAACTTTTTGTTAATACAACCCACTTTCAGAACAAGTATTTAGAATGATTATTAGCATCTGATTGATGTAGGAAAAATCCTATTTTAACTGACGCTAAAGTATGTAAGCTCTTTTCCTGCAAAGCACAGTGCTCTGTCCAGTGCTAAAGTTATGCTTTCATCTGGTTATCTTTCAAGGCAACCTGGGTGGTCACAAAAAGCACTTGACATCTTGGTGCACTTCAACAGTTTTACATATACACAAACTTTGTAGAAAAATAAATTTGTCATTCGTCACCACATATGTTGATCTGAGGAGTGAGGTTCCTGTGGCTATAGCTCCTGTGCTGCTCAGCCCTTTCTCATTCTGTCTCCCTCCCTCCACCTCCTCCTTCTTTCTCCCTTTTCCCCCTTTCACTTTTACCAATTAAACAAATTGTTTCCTCAGAAACACAGAATTTCACAAAACAACTTGCTCTGCAGAATATGCTAATCATTTGCGCTAGCTACAAACTCATGTCAAAAAAAGTCTTTGTGCTGACTTCTTATATGGGCCAAACGTTTAGAATATCTTATCTGTT